AATAATGATAAAAAAAGGAAGAGAAGCATTTCAGACGAGCACCTGAGCAAGCACAGTTAATCTGTATTATACTGTAGCTCCTGTATTTTTTTCTAGAGATTGAATCTGAAGCCTCGATATATTTTTTTCTCATTTGTGTAAAAAAACAAAAAAAAATCCACCCACAGATTATTGCTTTATACTTGACCCTTCAGTTATTAGAATCGCAGAGGCTTCTTCAGAGCATGACGCAGTCCTCCATTTTTGTTTTTCTTTTCTTGCACCCCCTAAAGCTTCCTCAGAGTGTAATGTTAGGCTACTGCTGTATGGGTCAAGGTTCTTTTTCAAATGGTATACCAATGTCACTTTTTTGTAAATTACAGCCGTGTGCAGGTTTTCATCAGATCCCTCCGCGCGCAGGATTTTGAGAAAACTCTGGTGAAAACATTTGTGTCTTTCTACCGCGAGTGGCTGGGACACAGAGAGGTCGGATTTAATCTTAATTTAAGAGTGCGTACGTCTTATCTGAGCTGTCATTCTGAGGCCTCTCCTCGTAGGCACAGACGGACCTGGACCACCTCCGCTCCTGAGTTTTACTTCTTTTATGTTTTACTGACATGGTTGTATTCTATCAGTATTTGAGTTTTTACAGTTTTTATTTAACCCTTTTAGGTGACCCTCTCAGAGTCCGTTGTACTGAATGTTCAGGGGAGGTTTGGGGCCGATGTTGCAGTTCAGAGTAAACATTCATAAAGAAACTGTGAATTGAAAATGAACCCGGCCCTGACCTGGTCTTAATGCAGATGGTTTGGTGGCCAATGGGAACCCCTCATTTTTGAGTTGTACAGTGATTTTATGTGTCGCTAACTTCCCTCCTTTATATCGTTTCATTTCCATTTTTTAACATAACTTGTTTTGTTATTTCGGTGATTTGGCGTTTTGAAATTCCGAGATAAACAATAAACATTTTACACTCTTTGTAAGACACTTCCTTTCCACGTGTGTGAGCGCGCGTGCGCGCGTGTGTGGTCAAGTCTAGCATGTGACTCACATATCCAGACTTTGAGTCTCTAATATGGGGCAAGCTCCAAAAACACTGGATCCCACTTCCTGTAAACAACTCTATAGGCACTTATTTGGAACTTACCCTGTCAAGTTATACATGCTCAAGCCCCATGACCCTGTCTCCGGTTCTTTTCCTTCCTTGCAGCACTTTTGATAGGTACTGACCTCTGCAGACAGGAACACCCCACAAGAGCTGCAGGTTTGGAGATGCTCTGACCCAGTCGTCTAGCCATCACAATGTGGTTCTTGTCAAAGTTGCTCAAATCCTCACGCTGCCCATTTTTACTGCTTCTAACACATCAACACTGAGGACAAAATGTTCACTTGCTGCCTGATATATCCCACCCACTGACAGGAGCCATGATAACCAGATAATCAGTGTTACTCACTTCACCTGTCAGTGGTTATAATGTTATGGCTATATATATATATATAGATATATAGTACACACTGCATACTGCTTTTAATAGTATTATGCAGTATGTAATGGATTTATTTTGCTTTGTTAGGCTAAAGGCTAACCATCGCTGCTGTATAGCCTCCCATTATGCTTTAAAAAGTTATATATTTTGGATTTTAATAATCTTTCCAAATATGAAATATTATACAATAATAATAATATAATATGAGAGATGTGTCACACCTATCTGACATGTAACCTAGTCATAATTTGAATTGTTCTCCAGCTGTGCACCTTGCATTGTGGGACACGGTTAAACTGGTGAGGCATACTGGAGATTTATTCAAATCAGTACAACATCCAATATGTTTGGCATACTGCATATTTAGCTTTTGTTCGTGTACTACATGTTACATTGTGGCTGAATCAGTACGCACTGCTAGTATGGTAGATGGTAGTCTAGTGGTATGGTAGTTTTGAATACACCCCATGAAAGGAGCAGGTGTTACTAATAATGATGACTCTGTTCAGAAGCAGATTCAGAATCAGAATTAGGTTTATTGCCAAGTAGGTTTTTACGCCTACGAGGAATGTGCCCTGGTGCATTGGTGCATAAAATATACAAATCACATCCACAGGGGTTCCAGTAAGCCATGACAGTGAGCCTGTACCAACACTACCGGGACCCTGAAACTGGAGCAGCTAAATGGAATTCAGCCATTGTTAATGTTATGAATTACACCTGTGCCTCTCACACATCGCTCTGTACGTAGCAGCCAACCTGGCTGCTCGTCAGTGTGTCCTGCAGTGCGACAGGTTAAATAGTGTGGAGGTGTTAAGTGCCTGCTACAGGTTAGGTGGTGCTCCTGCAGACAAACGGAGAACAGGTGCCATCAGACACAGTGCTGAACACTATGGTCATAATAAAGCCTGGACCAGGTCACTGTTGTTTTCCCCCATTTGGTCCCACTTTGGAATGCCTAGTTCCATATACACTGTGGTCACTTCTAACATGATCGTTCACAGACTGTTACTGAAAAGCATAAACCAACCGGTAACGCTGCTGCTAATGAAATTAAATGCAATGGACACAAATATAACCAACACCGGGAGTTACATGATGCAAAGAGAGTATTTCTGTGTGACAGTTGACACCCAAAACCAAATTATTCTTGTGTGATGAGTATGGAAAATTTACCAAACTGGTATTTGTCCTCATTGTGTGCTGCCTCTGTTTGTCCCTGACTGTTTGGTTTGTGGATCAATACTTCTGGGAGGTGTAAAGTGTTTGCTAATAGCTCCCTAAACAAGGTTTACCCAGGTCAAAGTTTCCCCTGCCCTTCTGCAGCAGAACAACCACTCCCTGTTTTTGCCATGTCCCCCTCTCTCTCTCTCTTTTTCCCCCCATCGTCTTCCAGCTGCTCCTCCAACACACTGCCATAAATTCTGTCCTCAGCTCGTGCTTATTTCCTGGTCCTACTGTTGCTGAGCCAGTAAATTGTTGGTAGTCAGACCTTTGAGATTTGTATTGAGTTTGTGGTGCTAAAACAAAGTCTTATAACTTCCAGTGTTAAATCCCCAGGATGAATAACCAAAGGCAAAAACGGTAACACACACACCAGGACAAAGTTTACTAATCTCAATTACACCAATTTATTCTGGCCAGTTAATTCTGTATGTAAAAGACGTGACTACCATTTTCTTTCATGCTCTGATGAATTCCACCAGGCTGACACGTTAATAAAAATGAAACCGTCACAACCCTGGATCCCAGCTAGGCGGCGTAAAGACCAACTCTGGCTGTCTTGTGAAAAGATTAAAATATATATATATATATTTTTCTTTTTACAGCAATCAGTAATTGATGATTGTAGAGAATAAAAAAGTGTCAGAGTCACAACTCTTATTAATTAAATTAAATTAAAAATGACTTGTGCTTATTATCAGCCTTCACAGCACTGTAAAACCCAATGAGTTTGTTTAACTCTGAAACCGATTGCCTTAAACCATTTATTAACTCAAACAATTTAAGTTTGAAACAATATTTAGAGCTAAGTTGTTTGGTAACTTCCATTCAGTCAATTGAACTTTAATCAGTACAAATAAGTATATCACAGTTATTTGCAGCATTCTTCCAAACATATTTAACTTATTTAAATGTATCTGAATACAGTAAGCCTAAATTAAATGGTTCATTTTCTGTGGATCATCTAATTGTTACTGCTGTAATTAAGTTGTTAACTATAGCCTGCTTTATGTGACTAACATCAAGTCTTTATACTTTGGGGGATCATTAAAAAATGAAAATCATAAAATTACCTAAAATACTACACAAATCATTGCAGTCATTACTGCAACAGTTCATTATCGAGTTGGGTTTAATTCATGGGATTGAGGATATTTTTGAGGATTCATTTACATTAACTTACTTCTTTTATTAAGATAGGCGGTTAGGTTTTACAGTAATTCAGTAAAATGAACAGTGTGGTGTAATAAATCCAGTTTTACCACTTTTATTTTTAAGTCGATTCTATTTTTAATACTCAGGCACTGACTCTAGGGATGGAAATGTCAGTCGGTCCACCACTTCAGACTGAAATATCTCAACAACCATAGGATGCACTGCCATGTAATTAGATACATCAATGGTGCCCAGACTGTGGAACCTGATAACTTTGGTGAGCCTCTGTCTTTTCCTCTACTGCCACCATGAAGTGATTTGTGATTTTCAGTGAAATGTCCAACAGCTATTTGATGGATTTAACATAGCGGGGCCGTTTCAACATGCAGCAGCAGCACCCTGACGAACCTGTATCACCTGTGTTCACCCTACTATTGCATGATGATGGCTGGCTTTCAGCACTATTCAAACTCATGAATTACTTTTTGTGGTAATTCATGATTTAGTTTCAGTTATTGGCGTCAAAGATTTGTTTATTTTGGAAGAACTGAGCCGTCACATCAGCTGTACGTCAGGTGATGACTCCCTCCTCCTGAAGCTTTAAAGGAACAGCAGCTGGAGCTGTCTCACTCATCCCTGCTCGTACCATTGATGGTCCTGTCCTAGTGGAGACATAACCAGCTGGTGTGCACCTCTGTGGACTTCTGTATGACTCATTAATAGCTTTATAGAACACAGCATCTACAGACACCAGGTACGTCTGATTTTATTTTATTACTTGTCAATATTATTTTAATATTGACAAGGCTATTTTCACACAGATGAAGATAATTAACCTGTCAGTCCAGCTTATTTATATATAGTTAAATCTTTTTTTAATTTGAGAAAAGTTTTTTATTTTTAGTTACAGTAAGTCTCAATAAAACAACCATTAGACAGAGAGTTAAAATCAAATCAAATGTATGTATAAAGCACATTTAAAAACAATCCTTGTTCGTGCTCAAGATAACTGGACCTTTATGTGCTGTTATTATGTGACACTGAGCATCTATTCCAGGCAGTTAGATAGAAAAAAAAACTTTTTACAGAAAGCTCCTGCTTCCTTTTCCTCAGTGCCTTTCAGGTGAGACCCACCCAAAGCAGACAGATCAGCTTTCATTCGGCTTTTATTGTGGAGCTAATTTGTTTTGTCACTGCAACATATAAGGAGCTGTCTGATCTCTGTGTACAAGTTGAAACTTGGCTGAACAAAAAAATTATTGAGTCTACCTAACAGGATCAAGAGATAAGCTCTGTGAGCACATTTAAACCAAAAGTAAATTAAATGAAAATTATGGATACATATTCACATTTTTTCACTGTCTTTTATTCACAGATCCTTAAAGCTTCAGTTTTAGTAATTCCACATTTTAAATCATGCCGATTTCACTTCAGTATCTCCAAGTAGTTTTCCAGAACATGGCGTCAAAAGCTCTTATCTGCAATCTAAGTAGCCCCTCACCAGTATTTGTCTTTTGTACACCTCTTCTCCTCCACCTCTTTAATGGTTTTATTGCAGGTATTAGCATGTGAGCTGTAGCCCGGTGGTGAATGAACCATGGACGAAGCCAGCGCCACCATCTTCGTCACTGTTCAAAAGATCTACTACCCACTCCTGTGCATCATGGGTATTCCAGGTTCGAATCTTGTCGTTTGTTTGGTTGGTACCAATGTGTGATTGGGCATAAGGTTATAGGCTACTAATGACTTTATTAGGCTGTTCCTTATTATTCACTTTTAGCTCACTCTGTACACCCAGCCAGTATTCAGGAATGCCTTTTTAGTGAGACAGATCATTTGGCTCAGTTCAGCAATAAAAAATAAGAAAAGAAAATTGGCTCTCAGGCAGGAGCCAACTAGGTTTGTCCGTTCTTGGCTACTGTAGAAACATGGTGGTTTAACATGGCGGCCTCCATCGAAGGCGATCCACGTCATCTATAGATAAAAACTTAATTCTAACAAAAACACAACAATTCCGAAGTTCAGCTGATTATACACTAATGAAAACATACCTATGAATATTAGATTCCATTTCTGCCAATAGACACACTGGACCTTAAAGGGAGCAGGATCATTCACAAACACATCACTATCAGAGATTGCTCAAAGACTGGAAGCTGGGTAAAATCGTTAAGAAATACACTTATGGAAACTTGCAGCACTTTCTTTTAGCCTACACATTGTATGTGAAACAAGCCTATTTCTTGACCAACAGCTGTTCATCTCAAAAGTCCTGTCCTTAGAGTGACTGTTTGGAGACTGTTGCGTCAAAATTTAGGGGAATTTTAGGTGAACTAGCTAGCTAAAATACAACGTCAATAAAACAGCCTAAAAGCTTTTCAAAGACTTTTTTCCATTTTTGAGATTTTGGCTAGCAGTTTGCGCCTGCTTCCATTTGAGCTAAGCTAGACTCAACATTCTGGCAAACCCCAAAATGTCTGTTTATTTACACAGTGGAATAGATTATTACTGATTTTTGTGTTCCTGTCTTCCAGCCAACCTCTTCACATTCTACATGATATGCTTCCGAAAATGTGGCATGTCCAACACAGCCATCATTTACCTGAGTTGCCTGGCTATTGTGGACACCTTTTACCTGGTGTGGGTGATCCTTATTGACTTGACCCTCACCTTCTGGCTTCTGCAACCCTTCTGGCACTCCCACCCCTGGTGTGGCATCTTGGGATTCCTGCAGTACGGATCACTCTACAGCTCCTCCTGGATCGTGGTGGTGTTCACCATTGAGCGCTACCTCGTCCTCAGAAGCACAGTGGCCAAGCAGCACTTCTCCCAGCCCTGGGTCACTAAAGGGACCTGTGCGGCTATCGTCCTGGTGTCTCATCTTGTCTCTGTGCCACTGGGCTGGATCAACATTGTCACACCTGTCAACATTACTGTTGATGGGGAGAATGTGACACTGCCCAGGTGTCTTTACCGCAATGAGGCCTACACTACTGTTATAGTGTGGATAACCACCTTCCTCTCAGGGGGAATACCCATTGTGTTGGTCATCATCTTCAACTACCTCATTGGGTACCATCTGTCCCGCGCCAGCAATCTCTTCACTAAGGAGGAGCGTCGCACCATGCATGGAAGGAGTACCAGGGGCATGTTGAAGAGGACCATCCTGCTGCTGGGTACTGTCTCTGTGGCCTTTGTTGTGCTCAGCCTGCCCCGCTTTGTCACATACTGCATCCTGAGGACCAAGTACAACAATCAGAACTTCAACAGGAACAACTACAGCATTCCCATCAATGTGGCTGGAGACTTGGCTAACATGCTGCAGAACCTCAACTCCACCACCAACTTTCTGCTCTACTGCATGGTCAGCCGGCGCTTCCGGCGGGAGCTGGTCCAGGTAGTGACTTGTAAGGTGAAGGCCCGTGAGCTAGGCTCTGTCCTCACCCATACCACCATGAAAGTGTTCTCAGTTGTGAATCATAAGGTCTCGGTATCCAGCAACCCCATGACTGTGGTGCTAACCAATCTCAAACAGACTGAGTAGAAAGGATATGGAAGAGTGGACAAAGATCAGACATTCAAAATAATTATCCTTCATGCATAAGCATTCATTCTTGACCTTGGAAATTCTATGAAAACAATCTTAAGGTTGATCTTAAGCTTTTTTCTGGGCTGTCAACCACACTTTTTCTTCATCAGCGAATACATACTTAGGTAAAAACTAAGGCATACCCATGACAACCACAAGAGCTATGGAAAAAGCTAGTTAGTGGACCTTAAGTTAAGATTATTTTATCATAAAATGTGTGTTTTTGTTTTTTTAGCCACCTAGCTGCATTGGTCTAGGAATGGCCAAGTTGGAGTTTGGTACAGACAGAAATATCTCCACAACTTTCTGATGTATGTCCATGAGATTTTGTACAGACATTCATTGTTCTCAGAGGATGAATCCTAATGACTTGAGTCCAACTCTTGTCCAGCAAATCATGCAGTGTCAAATAAAATTTTCACTTATCCAGTAAGATATTTCAACATGTAGAAGATGGGTTAGTACAAAGCTTGGTACAGACATATCTAGTTCCCAGGATCTCTAGCACTACCATGAGGTTGACACATGGTTTTGAGTGATATATCTCAACAACTATTGGATCCATTGTCAATCATGGTCCTCAGAAGATGAACTGCAGTAACTTTAGTGATCCCTCGCTCTCCTTCTAGCACCACCATCGGGTCAAAATAGATAATGATCAGGAGAAACTTCAAAATGCCATTATAGATTTACAGATTATCAATATGACAGCCGATATAGTGAATTTAAACACAAAACTCCCCATTCACTGCCAACAACAGTCAGGAATTAACCACCACACACTGGAGTGACTTAACTGTGATTTATTTAAGAACAAAGCTATGGAAGCTGCAAGTGAAACGTGTTGTTCACTCTTCTAAATCACAGTAAAGTCACTCCAGTGTGCGGTGGTTAATTCTTTTTTTATAGTGAATTTTAAGTTGGAATGAAAATGTTCTATGTGGATTGTTGACCAATGTGACTCTGCAAAGGTACTCAGAAGGCTGTTTTCTTAAACAAATAACTTTATTTAAGAATATTTTTGTTAAATATAGCTGCAGTAGGTAACTTTTATACTGAAGTTTTCAGTTGGTAGCTTGAGGATAGTTGATTGTTGAGTTTAATTTTTTCTTGGCTTTGATTGGTTAGTTTCACAGATTATCTGTCTCATGTAGTGAAAGTTTCAGCAAATATGACAAAATATTATTTTTATAAAAGTTAATACCACCATTACATGTAAAAGAATTTAACATATACATTGTCAACCAATTTTAGTTGACATTGCTGACAAAGCTTCTTCCCCCTTGACTCTTGGACCTGTGCTGCTTGCCACAGTGTTGTTAGTCTGTTGAATAAATTCTACAGTGACACCAATATATTTACACAAGCATTTTATTCTGCATTATATACACAACAAAACAGTTTTCATATTGCCATATATCACATAAAATAGTTACGATACGATACATATTTGCGATAGGCCAATATCTGACATATCAGTAAGGCTCTAAACTGTAAGCTCTGAGTCATCCAGGTCATGTGCAGTTCTAAAAGGAAAGCAAATGGATCTGCTTTCTTGCCTTGAAAATGTTTCTGCTCATCCAAAACTGCTACATGACATTCAGTAGTAATGATGAAAAGGTGATTTGTCCCAAATAAAATTTGAATACATATGACCAATGCTGCAAATTATATTCATGTAGATGTCAAGTCACTTGTCCTCCTTACCAAGGGTTGGATGAAAATAACCTGCCCACTTTCAAATCAAAGGAACAATTCAACCTGTCTGGCCACACAAGGCCTACCTCGCTGAAGAAACACCCTGGCAGTTGCAGTCTTAATGCCCCACATTATTTGCATAAATGGGTCACGAGACTTCCCTGCTTTGCATGGTGGGAATATTTCCTGTTTGCCTCAGAACAGGTTTGTGCTGTGGCTGACGAAAAAGGTCTAAGAAAAGGTAGGTGTGGGAGTTCGGTGAAGTTCTGCTTTATCCTATGTGTTTGAATTTATAAGGGAAAAACATACCGGGAACTTTGAAGGTAGTTTTTCTTTTTCATTTTAGACGGCATACCTGACATACCTTTGGATCGGTGATTTTAACCTTTGTACTAGTTTGAAGCGTTCGTGTTGAAATGTTACTCAAGCTCAGCTCTAAAGGTCATGTTTCACACCTATTCAGTGAGAAATACTCTTGAGAATAGTTTATACTTTGTAATGTTAATTCTAATTTTGTATCTGCTGTTTATTTTGCAAGGTGTGTATTTTCATTAGTGGTGTTGGTAGTGGCTTTGTTGTTGAAACAACACTTTGAATCCTTCCGTTGAAACTACAGTTCTTGCTTATGAAAGATATGTGTCTCTCTTTAAGTTGCCGCTCTCTATTAAATTCCTTTAACATTGTTTTCATTTTCACTTCACCAGAGTTGACAGACACTTTTCCTCAGTGACAAAATGGACTCTTTTAAAGGTAGGAAACAAAACCTTGACACACTGTCAGCAGTCAGGAATCTATCAAGCTTATCTAAACGTCTCGCCGAGTGAAATGCACACCTGATTTTTTTCTGTTTTCTCTTGTCATCAGGACCTTGTCCTCATCAGAGCGTTCCAGTTGAAATGGATGAGAGCATGACATCCTCCAGTCTGGACATGGTCTTGCCTCCCCCATGCAAACAGTGTATTGGGGACACAGAGATCAGCAAAAGGCTGCAGGAATACGACTGTGAGCAATCCAAGGGGGCAGTGCGCGATGCCGGCCAGTGGGGAGTCCCTGAGGGCCAGCACAAACCCAGAGCAGCCTGTTATCCTGTCGCCCATCCTCGTTTCATCCCCCCTTCACACTTAGGACAGATGAACCCCCCCTACCCTGCAGGTCTCAGAGAGCAGGAGCTGCTGTATGAACAGGATCTCAGAGTCAACAATAGTAGAGGTTTTGCACACCCTTCAAACTATCCCCAGGATCGCTCTGTGGAGGAGACGGAAAGCTTGGAGCTCCCTCACACACTCGTGTCTCTTAACTACAACCAGTGTGTCCCATCTCGATACCCTGCACCACGTATGCCCGGTCAGTGCAGCATTATCATTAGAAACATGAAAACTTTATCTGTTAGTGAAAGAAATCATTTGATTTTATTGTTGCTGTGAATCACACTAGATACATGAGATCTTTCAGTGGTTTGACATAATGACTATAATTATTACGCCATGGGACACTACCACACTCCACTGAGACCCACACAAATGAACTAATGTAAGGGCAAGAAGCTCATTAATGCAGTGTGAGCAGCTATTCAACAGCCAGAATAACCTATACTGTGCATTAGGAATTAATATGCTACAATAATAAATGGGCACAAAATAGATGTAGATTGGTTGCTAATATTTCATACTTGATGGAACTCTAATATTTAGACATGTTGTATTATATGTTTGTTTGTCCATGTTTTGAGATATCTTTCTCTGAAATTTCATCCTACACCCCCACTGCAATGGAGGTGAATAGAATTGGTGGTGTTTACATCATTGAAGTGTAATATTAAAAAACTCAACATAAACAATGTTAGCTATTACTTTGGAGGTAGTTCCAATGAAATCTGTTCAATGTTTGGATTGCGCAAAATAGATAGGACACTTTCTCATTTTCAGTGCAGTAACCACCGCAAAATTAAATTTCATCCACTTCCATTGTGTTGCTATGAAAGAAATTAGAGACAGATATCTCTAAACGTGGACAAACACAAGCAAAGTTACCAGGTCAGGAAATGAGAAAATGTGTCTTTCAGTCAAATCATGACAAATCATTTGGATGAACTGACCCTTAAAATGATACTATGTAACTTTTACAAGAAGAATATCACTCTCTCTGAAAGAGTGAATTCATAAGCAATAAACTCAGTCTTGAATGTATCAGCTGAATTCGGTACCCTGCTGCTCCAGCCTGACCTGGACTGGTAATGACCAGTAGCTTATGGTGGCTAATGTTAGCAGACTTCAGATAAATATTGCTGTATTACTACTATTAGTTGGTTAGCGGACTTTATGACTCTTCTCTACTCGTGCTACTGTTACACTATGTTTTAGCATTTACCATTATCTTGTTGCTGTCTCCTGTGGCCACAGTATTGGTCAATAAAAGTTATGCAGGCTCGCTTTGATAAGTCTAGATGCTGGCCTTTTTATTTAATAAAAAAACAAAAAAATCTGTAGACAGTCATGGTCCACACACAATAATTCAGCTGTATTACATTAGTGGTAATTAATAAATGTTGGCATGCACGCTAAACTAAGATGTATAAGCTCCAGTGTGTAACATTTAGGAGGATCTTTTGTCAGAAATGGAATATAATATTCATAGGTATGTTTTCATTAGTGTATAACCACCTGAATATAAGAATGGTTGTGTTTTTGTTACCTCAGAATGAGCTACTTTGACCTGCCGTGTTTCTACAGTAGCCCAGAACAGACAAACTGGCTGTAGATAGGGGTTTTGCAAGTTTCGTGGACACCAAAGTTTCTCCTCCACACTTAGAAGGAAAGTGGTATTCAGTTGGTTGAAATCTGCAACTTCACTGGTTGATGCCACTGAATTCTGCACACTGGTCCTTTAACATTGTGAGCATGTTAGCATGCTACCAGCATTTATTCACATTCACTGTGTCTTGTGGTATATTATTTTCTAATCCATACCAAGTTCTCTTTGCTGTTGAATAGATGGGTCACACTGTCTTAATGAGCTGTTCACCCATTTCACATTAATGACAGTCTCTTTGGAGACTTTTAGTGTCCCATGGCACTGTGATAGCTAGTGTCATTAGTAGTAGGTTATAATGAATCATTTTTGGGTATTATAATGATATATTTTACAGATATGGAATATTATTTAATACAATTGGCTGCAGGCATCATCATTCTACAAATAACAGCATTGGGCTAACTCAAATGACTGTTTCAAAAGTAGGACAAACAACACAGCTACAGGCCTTAACTGGTCTGTTTCATTTGATTCTTCACAGATCCAGTAATTGTAACATCTGTGATAGATTTAGTTTTAAATGTTGCCTCCCCAACCCTGTTAGGTGTCATTTGGCTGCTGCCCCTTGTGTTCCTGTTGAGTCTGTGTGACCTTGTTACTGCTGAATTGGTCCAAACTAGGAGTTTAATGTCTGCTCCTACATCTCTCTGCAGGCCACAATCCAATGCCGGGGAGTTTTCCCGGACAGTGTGCATGCTGCCTTCCAGCAAATCTGCCCCATCTCGATAATAATTATCGTCATTATAAATATGATTACCCAGCGGATCCTCACCAGGAGCCTCAATACCGCCAACAGTCATGGTATGATTCCTGTCCTGTTTGTCATTCTGATCTGATACCTCACAGATGTCATACATAATTCTCAGACTGTTTCTGATTAATTCCCTCCACAGGAACCCCCCTAATAACAGGCTGCAACATAAACAGGCTCCAAATGCCCCCCAAGGATCTGCACCTCGGCTTGTGGCCCCTCATAGAGATTTGATGCATGAGGTCAGCGTGGATCGCTCCTTCCAGGCTGGTCCAGGACCAGCCACGAGGGAGATCAGGAGGACCATCTCCCTGTCTAAGGAGTGTAGTAAGTCTCATCAATGTCCCTGTGTGAACATGTAATTCTGTTTTTCTGATCTTAACGAATGTAACAGGTACAGTTTCACTGACTTTTCATTGACAGGGAATGTTTTCATCACATATTCATTGGACACGGCAGATGAAATGCTTACTTTCGCCAAATTTCTGACCGATCAGGGATTCGAAGCAGCAGTAAGTCAGGTCAATTGTCCATCACCTTTGATTGTTTTCATACAAACAGTCACACCCCGCCAATCTCTCAATAGATCGACATCTTTGATAATCCAGTCCGGAGAATGGGCATCACCAAATGGATGGACAGATTTTTGAATGATGTAAGTCTGACTGTTGAGTCTGAGGTGAGAATGAATCAGGCTGCTGTCTTCTGCAAAAGCTAACAATGAGTTGTCACTCTGCAGAAATCAGTGCTCATCATTGTGGTGATTAGCCCCAAGTACAAGGAAGACGTGGAGGGAGACGGAGACGATGAGCACGGCCTGCACACAAAGTACATTCACAATCAGGTAGGAACTATGATCAACACAGCTGTCAAAGACTTAGGCAGAAATGTCTGTGTGAAATATCGCCCTCTTGTGACAAACTTATGTCATTAAACTCCCGCCTCCCACATGCCAGTAGGAGCAGGAGAATGAGGAAATGCCTCCTGGGACTCGAAAACAGGGCTATTCATTTACTAGCTCCACCCAGTGTCCCCACACTCAGCCCCACAGTGTTAAGTGTGTCACAGGTGCTGTAGTAACCCAGCTGTGGGCCTGGAAGGCTGTCACAGCTCAGTCAGGTGTAGTGCAATCTAGTCTCTCAGTTTTCATTGTCAAAGAATGCATTAATGTAAAAATGAAAAGGCTTCTTGATCATTTTATTGTTATCCAAAGAGAAAATGAACCTTAGTTCCACCCCCTGTGTCTGTCCAGTGTTCATTGAAAAGTGTCCTGAGATAACTTCTGTTATGAATTGGCGCTATACAAATAAAATTGAATTGAATTGAATTGCATTTCTCAGATGGTAATGCTTCAGTGAGTTGTGTACATGTGAAAGGTAATCTTGATACAGTGTATCAGTAGCTCCATTTACACACAAAGATAAAAGGAGCAGTGTATTGATAGCCTGTATAACTAATAAATAAAACACTTTATAATTTAATGGAGTACCATAAGCACTGATTATCATCTCTTCCTGCTGGAACAGATCC